GGGGGTATGCACGCAGAGCTCGTGGGAAAATTGGTGGATGTTTTTGGTGTCAATGAGTGTTTTTTTGACTCCATCATTCGACAACTGACAGCAATCACTCCATCAGGAAACCCCCACACCAGCACAAAATTCAATAAAATATGTGAATTTTTACAAACCCTCAATTGCAATACCCCTTTCATTATCCGATATCTCTCAAATTTTTCTTTACCCATTAATAAGAGAGAGATGTACGATTTTTTTTAACTCACTCGATCGTTCATGAAACGAAATATATATAATTATATTGAAAAAAATAATTATATTGAAAAATAGTATATTTTTGATCGGATTGCCGCGAAAGAATATTCTGTTTTTACTTTTAATAATTATTTAGTAACTCCGCTTATGAAAATTGAGAAAAAACACTGGATAATTATCGCACGCTCATGAAACATTGCGAGTCATGAAATAATGATTAAAGGGGAGTACGACATATTTATTCGGGTCAATGCGATCACCACTGTCTAAAAAATTAAAAAACAATTAATTTCCAGTAATTTTTGCTAGGAGAGAATAGGAATAGCAGATTAATAACAGACCACTCAATGTTCGTTTTATATTCTCGTGTATTTCCACAATCTCTCGTCCCTCTCCTCCATTAAATATTATAATAATTTATTACCTACATATTTACATGATAACTGATATTTATAATACAACTTTATTGTACAAAAATTGGATTTCATTATTCCCTGGGTTTCATCGAGGACATCTCACTGGTTTTTTTTTCTCCGTGAATAAATTCAAAGCCAAATGCAAATGTAAACATAAAACCCAGAACCACAGGTGTATTGTTTATCGAAACCGCACAATCGACTATTCGTGGCGAGTATCGTTAACATCAGTGGGATATGCGCATGTGTGGTGAATGGCGAGTTGAGGTTCAACGCGATACTGATTATTTAATTTAATTGTTTAAATATCCACGAGATTTCACGTGAATCAACACAACACAATCAACAGAACAAAAAAAAACTAACAAGACAGTTTTTCTTTGGAAATTTTGTGTAACGAGTGAAAAATTCATCGTCAACAAACACGCGATATTCACCGTGAGTTGCAGAGACATTTTGAAGGGATTTTGTTAAATAAAAAATTGTTGACTTCTTTTGGAATATTTCACGTTCATCCGTGAATTTTTATGTCTCATCAACAATTTTTTCCTGGTGAGAAATCACAGATCTCCACACTTTCTGGCAAATCCCTCAAACCTTTCCACACCGGAATACTTTTCTAATTAAATTTATCCCAACAAAATATTGTCATTATCTTGTTTAATTATCACCAAAAACTCATGATGAAAAACGATTTTGATGGTAATTATCATTGCAATAAAATTCGTCGACAGTACGAGAAAAAAAAATCGTTTCACCTCAAGCGCGGGGATAAATTTACTCACGAATATATTTCGATGGAGTCTCTGCACTCGTCTCCCTCTCAAAATAACTAAAAATCACAACAAAAGAGACCAAGAAGACCCTTAAAAAAATCACTGTCAACCAAGAGTTCAACCCTAATTACCAGACTTGCGAATGACCTCTTCAGCCTTAGCCCTGAGTCCATGAGCGCTCTGTACTTGTCTCCTGATCTCATCATCAGACGACGCCGAGTCATCATCGCGCTCAGTCTGATGTTTAGAGCTTAAATTCTGTGGGATATTCTGTATGTCCAGGAGAAGTGGATGCTGTGAACCCCTTCCATGCTGCGGATGCTGTAGTTGTGACTGGCCAAGTAGATTTGATGGAAAACCAGCAGGCATCAATGACGCAAGATTTTGCGGCACAAGTCCGTTATATTGCGACAATATTGCGTGAAACTGGGGCATTTTCAGGGCGTTGGATAACCAAGGGGCTGTGAACATCGGTGGCATCAGCGCTGGCCAGAGAAAACTATTCGGTGGACCCGATGGATTAGCACCTGGCAGACCTGATTGCAAAAAATGCGCGTGGAGAGATAATTCGTTCACATCTGAAACCAAAAATCATCGAATCCATCAATTCTCTATTTTCCCCTCTTAAAAAAATTCTGATCTTAATTGTCAATTGGATTTTCAATTTATTTTGGTAAATATCGTGGGAATTTTCTGCAATTATTTAAATATTTATGGAGTGACAGTCCACCTATTCCTGTTTTTATTTACTTCGTCCATATTTCCCACCCCCCAAAACATTTTTAAAAAAGAAGAATCAATAAGCCGAAAACACCCATTGAAGAAGAGAATTGCCCATCGACTAGTATTTGATTAAAATGCTAGGAGATCCCTCTTTTCAAATAGAACAGAATAGATTCGCCCATTTCCCCTTGATATCTATTCACTTATTCTCTGACACGTAGAGCATCGTAAATAAATAAAAATCGATGGTGAAACCCTGGAAATGGTTGTTTAATAACCGGCATTAGTGATATGGCGCGGTGAGATCAGTAAAGCGATCTCGTCGCCCTGGAAATAAACTCGTATCAGTATTAACCCGATAATTTATTATATATCATAATAGATGGCAATTTTCAACACGTGATTCACCGACAATAATCTTATTCCACCCACCCTTTGAGACAGGTGCGCAATACCTCGGAGCGTCTGCTTCCAGTTTAATTATACCAGAAGGTGTAATATGATTAATGGATTGCTTACCTCCTGGTCCGACGTGCATGTACGCCGGATCACGTCCCATTGCTTTCCCCTTCTTTCGCCATTTTGCTCGTCGATTTTGAAACCATACCTGTCAAAACAAAAATAAAACAACAAATTAATTCCACAATTAATTCCAACAACAATTGGATAAACTCATTTACCGATTTATTATAAAAAATCATTGTTTCATTCATCAACTTTTAACATTTGAGAAATGGATTAGAATCATGATAAATCTTTCCACTAAATTTATTTAATTAACAAATATATATCTCAATAAACCTCTATTTATTTTTGATAAAAAAAATAGTGGATGGAAAAAAAAAATAAATGTGATGAGCATGATGATAATTTCAAGGGGCATAATACATGGACTACTTCAGCAAAAACGTAATCCACCGTTGTGATGAGGGGGTGAGGGGGAGGGGGATGATTAGGGTATATAAAAGTTGTATGAGAACCCCATAAACCCCGAGACCTGAGCTGTATATATATCGGAGCCCCACGGCAACAAAAGCATGCTCTCGAGGCTGATTAAGCTAATTGTTAACAATTATCCTGATTTCCTCTGGCCCTCTGAGTGCATTACAGGCCAACCCGCGCTCAATTTACTACCAACCCCCATTCTCTCTCACTCGCTCTTGTCTATAAATGCTTTTGCCTTCCACTCGAGTTGATTCACTTCTTTTTATTTGGGGGGATTTTCAGCGACCCCCTTCCACCCCCTTCCACCCCCTCGTCGATTATTTCATTCGGGGTATTATCTATTGTCCTATGATTTTTAGTCCGGCGGAAAAAAAAAAGTTGGGAATAAATTTCAGTATTAATTACTCAGGTGAGATTATTATTTTTGTATTTTATTGGAAATTTTTTTGATTAATTTTTTGCCGCAATGGATAAGAATATTTTGTCTAGTTAATTATTTTATTATTTGTTATTTTATTATTTAGATATTTTGTTTAATATTGCTTTTGATATGATTAATTGTTTGGTAAGAAGTTGATTGTGCGTATTAAATATTTCGGTGATATGAGGAATTTTTTATTTTCCACCCCGAAGACACTTCCGAGGCGTGCGTTAATGACGCCATTCATCCCCATAAATGGGCTGTAATTATTTAATAGCTCCCTATAATGGAAATAATTCCCGCAAATCCTCAAGTGTTCCCACTAATCTGAATCACTAATTTGAATCATCTATTCATAACCCATCTCCCCATTCGCATCCACCATTCGATAACAACTCCTTACAATTCAAATTTTGATTATCCCGACAGATTGCACCGAAAAAAAAATTACTACAATTACCCATTACCCCCCATGAATTATCAAAGAATAATTGAACTGAGGTAGACTGTTCCCCGAAATTCCAAATTCTCCCTGTTTACTCAAACCAAAAAAAATCCGCCCTTTAATCACAAAAAAATAATTCCCACTCACCCCGCGGATTAAATTCCCAAATCAATAATAACACGCCACCATCGACACCCAAAAAGCCACCCCTCAACCCCCTTCACTCCCCCTAAAAAATGTTGATCGCCTCATATCACATCCCGATCATTTGAGGTCGATTGACACTGCACGACCCATAAATAAATGTCCATTAATATTTATAAAAAAAAAAGATGAGAAAAACAAAACGGAAAAATTGTTGCACGAACTACGACATATCCCACGAAATCAGTAGCCGGCATTTTCCGAGTACCACGCACGAAATAGTAGAAATAGTGCGGACTGGGGGGTGGCAGGGGGTGTGGGAGAAGAGGATAGATAGGATAGGGGGATGAGTGAGGGGGGAGTGAGGGTAGGGTAGGGGATAGGACAGATTGAAATAAAGTGGCCGTGGCACCACTGCGCCCGGCGGATCATTTAGCGGTTTTGTCGAGCGACAGCCAATTGCCGGCATTGTCGCTTCGCTGTACCACAATGGGCCAATCGGAATGCTCTCTGTCTCTTTTCATTGCCCTCCCCCCCCCCTTCGCCACTGTGAAACCGTCAACCCCTGCCCTACGATTCACCCACACATTCCAATCTATCCCGGTGCCCTCCCCCTTTGTCCCTGAGAGTAAATCTGTCTTTGTCGTTTACTCCTCTTTATCAGATCCTCTCGTACATCCTCGCTGTGACTCTAGCCCCCCTCCGTCCTATCTCTGTCCGTATCCCGTGTCTCTGTCACTTTTCAGCGGTCTGGGGGGGCTCGTCCCCCCCCCATCCCGGAATGCGCGTGAACCGGGTGTTGGATAGTTACGCTAATCGAGTAACCAATTTTACAGCGATAGAAAAGTCATTTTTACGGGCAACCATCGGGTGATTCATTGTAGTCAATGGTGAATGAGGCATTTAGGGTTGCGGTGAATGACATGGAAAATTAGGGGGGCGGTGGGGTGATGTTGTTGAGTTTCTTCGAATTAAGTGGGTGAGGGGGCACTTTGGGGAGATGGACAGATTTTACGGAGAGCATTTTATTGGAGAGCAACTATTTGTTGCTTCGATAATTTGTTATTATTTCTGGCCGGTTTTTAAATAATTGGGGGGCTATTTTTGGATATCTTTTGGCTACATTATCAACCCTTGATTACAACCCCTCAGCATCTCATCTATCTTTATTCCTAGACGAAAAACTGTTGAAGCAATCAGAAACAATGCCACCCCTAATTAGTAAAGTGGCTCAACTCCATGAACAAAACGAGAGGAATACTCTTTACACCGGTACTTGTGAGCAATTGAATTTTGGAAAATATAATTCCCTGGAATTGGAAGACAACAATTGAATGAGAGATGGATTCCATGATTGAATCCCATCAGAGAACATCGCTAATGACTATAGAATGGAAAACAAAGGGATAGTTAATTTGGACTCATTGAATCGTAAAATCATTCAGAAATTCTTGCGGCCGGTAATTAATTCTGCATACTAAGATTAATCACTCATTTTCCATGGGCAATAATTCGTCTTTCCAAGATTTTTCGGGATTTTTCGGAATTCTCAGAAAATTATGCGATGGCCTGAAAATGATTCAGAATTTATCAAAGATCTGAAATTGATCGTTAATTCTGATTTTTATTTTGACATTGAATTTTTTATTCTAGATTTTTGTGTAGACTTTTCTTCGAAAAACCTTGGAAATTCTTTTGATTTTTATTCTTTTAATTACTGACCTGCACTCGAGCCTCGGACAATTCCAAATTGGAAGCGAGTGACTCTCGGTAATTAACGTCGGGGTACTGAGTCTTATCGAATGCTTTCTCCAGCTCATTCAACTGATAAGTTGTGAATGTCGTTCTCGATCTTCTGACTTTCTTTGGTCGATCCATATCGCCGATTTTTACTGGCATCACTGAATTATATCCCTGACTCTTCGAGAGGATGTCCTCATCGTCGGTGGGTAGACCAACTGTCTGAGGTGGTCTTGAGTGATCTACAAAAATAAATCAATCGATCGCAAATGTTTAAATTTCTCCTCTCACATAATTCCCTTCATTAAAATCCCCCAAAAATTAATTAACCATCAGCAGCAATTAATTCTCCAATCAACTCCACACTCAATTCCAAAATAAATCAATAAATTATAAAACTTAAAATTTCCCCTAGAGTCCCCTAGAGTGTTCTAGTCTCTCTAGACTTCTCGAGAAAATCCGCGGAAATGGGAAAATTTCATTTTTAAAAATCCTTTCAACTCTCCAAAAAAAGGCAAGACCAAAGATTTTCGCGACGAGAGGAGAGGTATCAAAACTGGAACATAAATTCGGCGACAATACCTTCTTGTTTTGTTTTTTATCGTTTTTATTAAATTTTTAAGCCCCCGTCAAACGTTGAACAACGGGCCGAGGCGATTTACGGATCGTCGAAAATATATGATCCATACGTCGATGATGTCTGACCAACGGATTTGCCAATTTTTAATCCTCGAGTATTTTATTTTATCGGTTGGTTGGAGGGGGGAGTAGTTTGACTACCTCTGGACTGTTCGATTTTTTTTTTATTCACCATTTTTTTATCTTTTATTTTCACTCGATTTTTGCATCAGGGGAAACTGATGGATTCACTCGTCTCGTCAGCTCTCGTCGCCCCCTCGTTCGATATCCATCTGATACTACATGTGTATTCACGTTTACCAATATTGGTACTTAAAGAGTGCATGAGTCATACTGGGTGATTAGTCAATATTTTTAGAGACGGGGGGAGGGATTTCGAGGATTTATCAATGTTTAGTGATAAATAAACGAGCGATTGGAGAAGGAATCATTAAATTTCTCAAGAAAATTTTCGAATCATCCGAGAAACAAAATATTATAAATATTTTCATTAGAAATATTAAAAATATTATTGAGGAATTCAATAATCATTAGTGCCATCAATTCATTGTTTATTAAATTTATTATGAAAAATCTTGAAAATAAAAGTGCCATTACATTTTCTTTTTCAATCACCTGTTGTGAGGGGATAATTTAATTTTTTAATCCATGAATATAATTATTATACAAATGAATTATTTATGATTCTCAAAAAATTATTCCAGACTTTTTAATCCTATTTCATTTTTACTTCAGTTATCCACTAATAAAAGTTACCATAAAATGAATTCCCAGATTAATTTCCAGAATCACCGGAAAATTGTTATAAATCGATAAATAAATCTGTCGATTTTATCCGAATTACTCCGTAATATCTCCAAAGAATTAGTTCCTCATCGGCACTTTTATTTTCCATAACACTCGTTAGAGGGTAAATTGCTTAATTACTCGATTAAAAATGATGGGACGATTTTAATGATTTAAACGGCGATAATTCTAATCCTGTGAAATCTCAGCGGATCTACCGAGTGAATAGGGGGACAGATGAAGAGAGATATTCCCCATAAAAGGGAGTCATTAACGCATCATCCAATCGAGTTACAGCCAATTAAATTGACCAACACTGAACCCGGCATTTAGTTGGAAACTTTAGGTCTGTGCAAGGTATATTATTCGGATTTTCATAAACCGTTGGACAGGCGCGTGCTACCGTTCATTTATTCGCACATGCACATGAGGTTATATCACACAGCGTTCAGGACATAGGGAAAACATATGGGAGAGTATGTAGGAGCTAATCCATCCTGAATAGAGAGATTTTAATGTTTTTATGATGGTGGCACAATGGGGGCTACCCACTTGATTCCCAAAGCCTTTCTATCCTCGTTTCCCAACAGCCCTCACCTACCCCTTCCAACCCCCTTTAACCCCCACCTCACTCCTCTTGCCTTCACTCTCATTTTGGTTTTTCATTAAATCGGGGAGAACGAGAGCCAATCAAACTGATATTAAACGTACGCTCTTTCAGTCTTTATTACGTTTCTTGCCACCAAAAAAATATATTGGACGAAATTTAATTTTGAGAATTGATTGATCAATCGGTAATTACTCATTGGTTTTTGGAATTATTAGGGGTGATTATGGGAAAAATATGTGGTGCAACCCAGAAAAATTTGGGATTCGAAAAATTAATCGATTGATGAATACTTTTTGAGTCTTTTTCTTCTTGTTTTATTAGGAAAACTGGATGAGAGTTATCAGTATTTTTCATTTGCAATTAACATTTATGGAATTCTGATCATTTGTTATTAATTATGGTGATTATGGAGGTAATAATGGAGTTGAATGGAAAATTTTTTAATTACTCGAAAAATTATCACCTACTGGTTATAAATATTTGTCTTAGAACTTTTTGGAAACAATTTTCTTGTTCAATCCCTCGAGATAAATTATCTAGATTCATAGAGAGCGTAAAATTACGGTTGTTTATAATTTATTAATGACACAAGTTCTCAATTTTCATCGAGACTTTGAAAATCTTCAATATCCGTTTACAAACTCAAAAAGACCAATCAAATTCATCTAAAATTCTATTCCTAAAATTTTGAGAAACCCGATTCTTTCAAGACCACTCCAATTCCCCGAAAAAAACAATTAAAAAAATATAAAAAACCTTAAATCAATCACCAGAAAAATTCTGAAGAGCCATTTCCCACGGATAAAATAAAAATCCCGAACTTCTTGGAAAAAACATTTCAACCCCCCAGACCTGGTTAAAACCCCCCAAACTTAATGACACCATCAATAAACATTCCCCCCACCCCCCTAAAAAATGCACATTGCTAATTACCTTCATTTTTCGTCGAGTGGCCAAGAATCTGTTCAATGCTGTAAGCATTGCGCTTCTGATTGCAGGTCTGTGCCATGACAGAATAAATACTGATAACAACCACTAGCCAGCGATATCGCAACAGCCAAAATGACAAATTAAATTCACTTATTTCCTCAATTCACCGATGGAACAACAATATTAACCGATAAATAATGAACCGTATTATTTTAAATAGCGGTAAACACATGAAATTCGTGCGAATGAAATGCGTTGGTCGACGGCGCAACACGGACTAACCCTCAAACGTGGAAAATCACCCCTTAATATCACACACAAAACCTACCCCCACCATCGCATCATCACTGTGCAACACCGCCATATTAGCCAATCGGCCAATGGGGTGTCGGGGTGCAGTTACGCAAGCTCCCCCACTCGTCGAGGGTTGAATGATGCTTCGGGGCGGAGAATATTTTACTCTGCCGCGTAAAATCTACCCTTGCCTTTTTTTTTTTCATCCCTCGATTTTTTACCACCACTCCACCACTCATTTTATCATGCCTTACACTACCCTCGATTCGTAATTCGGATGTATCATTCGTGGCTTTCTTACAACCCGCCCTCCCACACCGCAACTGATACCAGAATATTCACTGAATTTTTGGATAATGCAATTTCAAGGCTATCGTTATGAAAATTTATTACTTTTAATGATTAATTGATGAAAATATCAATTATCAATTTTTTAAAAATAGAAATCCGAATTTTTGTGCGTTTTTTTAAATAGTTAACATCAGTAAACTTAGCGACTTTAAAAAGTGTATTTTAATGACAAAATTACGATTATTCAATTACCATTTTAATTTAATTAACAAAAAAATCCTCATAACTCTTCCTCTTTTTACCGCAAATCTTAATTGACAATTGTGTCGATTGAAAAAATTGAATCAATCAGATCATCATCTCGCACTAGTCCCAAATAGTTTATAATTAATTTAACATTTGTGATGAATTTTACATTGACAAACATTCTAATTTCTCCACAATTCACTGCATTACCTATTGTTATTTAAACTCGTCATGAAAATTACTCACGATCCAAGCGATTACGAAGGATCCATTAATCCCCGTGCAAAAAACTTCTCCTCAAAATCCTTAAGCCCCTAAATTTCCCCCGCTAATTACGAAAAACGAGGTCGAAGCTTAGCCCCGCCACCCCCCGTCCGGAAAATTGAAAAATGAACAGTAGTGTTTTCCAAAAAGCCCCGGGAAAAATTTATGTGATTATCCTTACTTATTCTAAGACAACGCCTGCGTGCGAGACAGGGGCTTAAATCAAGTAGTTTAATCCTAAGAGGAGTCCGACGCTTATTACCGACACAAATAAGGCGCCCCCCAAGATTTTTACTTATCTCGAGGATAATTTTTCACAGATGGTTGCACTAACTATAACTGCACCAAATAAATTTTGTCACTAAACGGGGGCAAATATTTTCTATGAATTTGTTCCGTGGGGCATGACACCTGATGGGAAAATAACACGGGGGGTTGTGACAGGTCAATGACAGCGAAGACAATTGGGGAATGCCCAGCAATTTTCACAATGGATTTTATCTTAATCCACTTAGGGAAATAATGGCACCACAAATGGAGTGATTTTCGGGGGCTCGAGGCTCGAGGCTCGAGGTTTTTCATTAAAAACGAAGAAAAATTCTAGCAGAAACTAAAACAACAAAAAATTACGTAAAACTCACAAATGATTCCTTTATTTCAATAAAAAAAGTTAAGAACAAAAGAAAATTATGATAATGTAAAAAAATAATCTCTAGACTTCATCCGAATACCGGAATTATTTGGTATTCATTATTATTATTAATATAATTTATTTGGAAGGAGTGAATAAACTATTTGAGACAGAATTGCTTAAAACGAATATTGTCCATTTTCTAAATATATTTATTAATAAAAAAAAGCAAATAATTCCAAATAAAAATCCTTCACCCAAGAATCTCAAATTCGTTAATTGATATCTGAATTATCAAAAAACAATTCCAACAGGAGAAAAATGAAAAACCGTGCAAAAAAAATGGCATTTTTTTTTTCAAAATCATACATGACCGGCTTAACGTTTCCGAACGTAATTTTTACGCCATTCGCATGGTAATTTTCGTTATATATATATATATATTTTTTTTTTCTCCACGTGTATCCAGAGTTACACGACTGAAATACCCCTAGCAGAATAGAAAATTCCCATTTTCCGTTGACCCTTGGTCCATCGGTTAATTTTCCAAAGCAACATATACGTTATCCAGACTCATTTGGTTTCAGATTCCGCGTTATTTCGACCACACCCACACAGCGATAACCGAGGTGGAAAGGGTGGAGCGAAGAGGTGATATCTCCTGGTTATAACGGGGCTTTATGATGCAAATAAACCGCCCTATATGCTTTTGAATCTGGACCAGACTCGCCCTCGGTATGAAATTCATTATACCAGGGGGTGAGTGGCAGAGAGAGGGGTACACAGGGGGAATTTTAAGAGTACGAAGTACGCGAATTTAATGATAAAATGGTCCTCATCGTCGTGCGATAGGAGAACGGGTTAGAGGACCATTTTAATCTCGTTGATTTCAGTCTGAATGCAGAATTAATAACGAAATAAATTGACTCACCTGTACGGCCCAAAGCTGCAAACAGTCATTACTCACAAATTCTCAAACTCTCCATCCCCCCAAAATGAATCACACGGCTCCTTTCCTCAAAACTCCAGTTGGCCCCAACTCCATGAAACTCATCTGAAACTGCAACAAAGTTGATATTAATAATCTCCATCGCATGCATGTAATCTTGTGTCAAGTATCAACTCAGAGTGCAGCTATCTGCGAGGGGTTAATTGAGGATGGGTTTGTATCCCTACTTCAAGGAAAACTTGGCTATTGAAAATTTTTCCAGAAGTCACTATACTCTCTCGACGCCCACGGAATTATTTTCATTATTATTCTTATCAATACCAAATTGAGGAAAAAATAAAAAAAGTCATCGAAACCCCGAATTATTGGAAATCTCGAATGACTCATGCTATCAGATTGTGGTACTAAGGTACTTAGATATTTCTAATACCTATTATCACCGAAAAGATTTTCAAGGTAAAGGATTGGATCAAACTACTTCATTAGGAACTCTTGGAATTATTCCTAGGGAATTCCCCATCCGCTTAACGTGACTAAATATTTCAAGGGGATGATTGTCCCCTATTTTTCATTTATTTTATTTTTATTCTAGTCAACTCCATTTCAAAAGGTTTATATATTTTAGTATTGCCATCAATTTAATAAAAATTGAAAGCATGAAGATCTTTCAGAAGTTATAATTACTGTATAATTATTTGTATCAATGGAGTCAATTAATTTCCATAAAACAATTTAAACAATGAGGGAAATTGGCACCCTCCGGATAACACCCCTTCACAAAATGTCTCCTAATATTCCCACATCCAGAAATGATGGGAATAAAGGCGAGGAAATGTGCGAACGGAAGTGGAAAAATGCAGGGAAAGAGGTAAAGATTGAGCTGAAAGGTATGCAGTCGTGTTAGGTGACTGAGAATAGGCATCGTTTAATCTGCAAAAAGAGGGATGATATGTACGCGTGAAAAGATGAAGATGATGGGGATGAGAGATGTGAAGCTGTATGACGTGATACAATTGACAATGGAATCGTCGAGCCGATTTCAAGATCAAACAGCCGCGTTACGGCGCATTCAATCGGCCATATAATCTTTTCAGTCCGCGTCAAAAGGCGGTGAAAAATTGATAAAGCTGTTATCAAGTTGTTCGCTCATTGATGGATTAAAAAAACCGGCAATTATGTGAAAATGTCGATTTAAAGCGTCAAAGTTCAATGAAAAAAATAAATAAACCTCACCATTTTTTAAATTCCCAACAATTCGACGTATCATTTAACAATCAAGAGAGCGTCTTACAACATTGATTAAATTCCCTTAAATAAATGCACGAATTAAAAAAAGCCCATAATCTTAACCAGGACTTTTGAAATTGCCGCGTATTGAATCGTCGCTGACTTCACGCAATCGCTGGCCAATGAGATGCGTCATTCACTCTCACGCAACTTCACGGCGAACCAGTGCCGATTTAATTATCTCTAAAACGTATCCTATTAATCCCCGGAGGGCACCGAAATCCAGTTGTTGCGCCCGAGAGACCGGTTTTGTGGGGTGAATGAAGTAAAGATCGGCAGAACGTAATCAATGGTGAATGAAAGAACCGATTGAGACGAGTGTATGGGTGGATATTCGGGTGAAAATGAGAGGAGACAATTTCGGAATGGGTGTATTCCTCTCACCACTGTCACCACAGTGCTAAATAAACTGGCCCCCGGCGTCGTGCGCCAGCTTCTGGTAGCAAACTCGAATTTTATTAACTTTCTGTACAACGACTCTGGGGGTAACCCGAGGGGGTGGTTCTGGGGGGGGGAGATGGGGGTGGATTTACTCCAGCTTTCACTCGATATATCGTTGGTGTGTGGGTGGTAACCGTTATATTCCCCAATGAGCAAACGACCGGAGTACGATACAATTTGTGGGGGGTGGAAGGGGCGGAAAAATCCGACATGCCAAATAAAGAGATAGTAATTATTGTGTTTGGATATTGAGTTTATTTTCTTCGGGGGAACACTTACCTCACGTTTTCACTTCCGAACGTTTTCTCAACTATTTTCTCGAGTCTTTCCTCATCAATTTTTTTATTTGATTTTTTTTTTATTTGGACCTCGGGGAGTAGCGACTTGGAAGAGACTTTTTATTGTACGATTCGACTGTATCGATTGCAGACGATTGTAGACGATTCGATAGTATATAATTATTCCAAACGATTTTTTTATCTTAAAAATTCGAACCGGATCATTCCTCCATGTAATTCATGGGGTATAAGACTCTTTTTTTCAGCGAAAGAATTCGCAATTTGGAGGGTGCAATCAATACGTCGTCGTAATAAACCGATATAATCGCGAGTTCAATTGCACAGAGGATCGAGTGAGAATTCCCGGGATTATGTAAAACGATGGAAAATAGACAAGTCCGGAAGTACGTGACAGATTGAAGAAAGTCGAGAGAGTATGAGGTCAGATAACACGAAAGGGCAGACCAATGGGGGCTCCGACGTTACGCGAATTTCCCCTTCTCCATCAGTCCCCCTCTTTTTCCACCCTTACTCCCCTTTTTCGACTGGATATGCGTGAATGCACCTTT